TGGCAGGTGCCTTTACCTGCTGAGCTATTCCACAGCCTCAAACCTCTTCCTACTACTCCTACTTCCCAAGTTCTGGGTTCAGGGGTGTACCATTCCTGGCTCAGTTCTAGTCCTTAAGCTTTCTAAGGCACTATCTCTAGGATGATGGCTAGCATGACCGAGAAAGTTTAGGATATGGAATAGCCATCAATTTCTCAACTGTTGGAAAATATCTGAAAGATGGATAATAGGAGAACCATAGAAGTATACCAGATGAGAGTTCACTAAACAGTAGATAGAACTCATAAAACCAAGAAGGAATGGAGTGTAGCTCAGGGGTAGATTGTTTACTCTGCATGTGCAGGCTCTGAGTTCTGTGTCCAATCTCTAGCTAGCATCACAAACAAATGAAAAACACAAACAAAAATTTCTAGGCCTGGGGATATAGCTCAGTGGTAGGGTGCCTGTCTAATGGTAGGTCCTAGATTTCATAAAAATACGAACAAGCATTGTAATACATCTTCCACATTACTAATTTGTCTGAGCAACATTTAACTCTTAAATACAGCTTTACTACATAAAGAAAAAATGTCAATAAATGGACTGATACCCCCCGAAACCAAGTCAAATGATGGTAAAGGAGATTGGGTGTGAGCCAGCACCACTGAGCGTCAAGTTCCTAGAGCCTCTACTGTGCTGAGGATTGTTTCCCAGCTCTTTCTCCTTGTGGTGCCAGGGATGGAATCTGGCTTTGCACAAGCTGAAAAAGCACTGTACCACCGACCTCCAGCTCTAAACCATTTGCCCAAAATCTCCATCTGTTGGGGAAGGATAGCCCATGCCTTGGGGAAAACAGCATGACATGTGAACTCCCATTGGGAAGACACTAATCCTTATAGTTGAGAATGCCTAGCAGAACTCTTTCCTCGAGCCCCCTGCCCCAGCCCTGACTTTTTACTCTTTCCCTAAGTAACATGGGGCTTACATGACACAAACTGGAAGAACAGTTTGGTATATGACTATTTCTGGCTTCATTAGTAATTTTGTTATTATGCTTTCACTTGGTTACAACCAAAGTTATTATAATGTGCAAGTTGCCACTATTTTAGAAAATTAATTGCAGTTTTCTGTTACAATATTGTGCCTTGTTCCAATTAGAAAATGAAAGCTGAGAGGGAACACAGGCAGTTTAGTGTTTTGGGAATTCAGCAAAACTTCAGCTCAGCAATCTCTAAAAGCCTAACTTAAAACAAAACAGAAATGAACAAAAAGCCCTCACTGGCTCTAGGGAAAGGGGATCAAACAGCAAAGGCGGAGTCACAGAGAGCAGCAACTCCAGCGCAGGGTTCTGTCTGGTGGACACAGAAAGGGTGGGGACAGGAGCCTGGGTCCATTCTTCCTGTTCTGCCTATTATCAGAATTATAGGAGTCTCAGAAAGCAGGAAGGGGGACACTAAAAGGACCCTACTTCCTAGAAATAAGGACAGAACTGATGACTCAACATGAGGAAGCAAAGACTTGAAGAGCTACAGCCAGTTAAGAGAGAAGCCTGGAGAGCAGCAACAACTGGAAAAAGACGGGAGGTGAAGCACAGGCACCCAAAAGGCTGGATGTGGGCCCTGATGTAACTGCTCTGCTCCATCATGCCCTCCTATCACGATGAACAGAGGAAAGCTCTGAGACCTGGCTAGACTGAGCGGCAATGAAGTTAAGAGCAGTTCTGGTCTTTACCAGCTCCATCCTACCAAGCTACACCAGAAGTATATATAAAGAGCTGAAGACATAATGGGAATAAAATTGTCTTCCAAAATCTCAAGTAAAAGGGCAAGGAGATGCCAGGCAGTGGTGGCCCACACCTTTAGTCCCACCACTCGGGAAGCAGAGGCAGGCAGATAGATCTCTGTGAGTTCCAGTCCAGCCTGATCTACAGTCCAAGTTCCAGGACAGCCCGGCTACACAGAGAAACCCTGTCTCAAAAAAACCAAAAAAGCCCCCCAAACCAAAACAACAACAAAAAAGAAAAACAAACCCACCAGATACTGCACCACTGTTATATCTTTTAAATACTTTTTCTTTGGAGACAAGGCCTCATAATAGACCAGGCTGGCCTCAAACTCACAATCCTGATTCAGCCTTTGAATAGCTGGAATCACCAGAACTCATTCTTCTTCTGACTGTAAGTCTAAAGTGAATCTGTGTTTAAGAGGGACCCTGTTACTCAGGAGCTATAGTTCCAATGTCCAAGGACCACTATTGAGAATCACTGATCTAGAGGTCTGAAGAACTGCTTAGAATAAGCACACCAAGGCTAAGAGCAATTAGCAATTCATTTACAAAAGAGATTTCACATGGGATCCTGTAAGAGATCATCTCCTGGGAGAGACATCACTTAGTGAGAAGTAAAATAAATCAATACCCTGGAGGATTTTCCCCTGGGAATGTCTGTTGGTACAACACATTCACCTCTTTGAATATTATCACAGTGAATCCAAGAAGTAATTCCAAAGATGAGGGAATGCAGGGCAGAGAAGCTCTAGGCTCCTCCACACAAGCATCTTTCAAGGGCAAAGCTAACTTTCAGATAGAGAAGCACCCATGCTAATCTATGCAGAGACAGAGACAGAGACAGATACTTCAGTCCCTGTCAACAAAATTCTAGTACTTTAAAGGATGACATAGTTCAACTAAAGAATGCCAGGCTGCTCTAGCATGTGTGAAGCCCTGAGTTCAATGCCTAGCAACACACACACATACACACACACACACACACACACACACACACACACACACACACACACACACACACGACTTTCTTTCCACTAAAGAGTGAGTTGAGGGACATTTGCTGAATGCTTTGGTTTTTTTGAATGTAGGAGCAACCAAGACCTCAAAACCCAGAAACCAGAGTCAGTAGATATCAGATTGAGCAAAATCTAGTTGAGATACCTAATCCTCTTGGTGAGAGGAATGCTTCCCAATGAGATTTTTCCAGTCACTTCAGTTTTCTCACCTAATGACAGATCATACTTATTGAGAATCAAAGAGCCTCATTGGGGGTTGGGTGGCATGCTCAGAAACAGCTGCTTGCATGAGGCACACAGCTGGCTAGCTGCCATGAGTCAGTCCCTCAGCCAGACAGCCATGGACCTACTGTATCAGAATATCTTCTCAACAGAATCCTCCAACCAAATTCCCTCTGGCCTCATATGACAAAAGACACCTTAGATTTTGCTTGTAGCTAGTTGACCGTAACCAGGTATTTCTGGTTCCGTATGAAAATGATGGAGGGCTGATAAGCTTTGCCTAGGACCTGGGCAAGAGGCATGGCTTTTGAAAATAGCTGGGGACATCTATTAGCATTACTATAATAAAATCTATAAGGAAGTAAAAAAAAAAATTTTTTTTTAACTATTAGTTAGAAGACCTGTTGGGACCAGGATGTAGGTGGTGACAAGTAGACAGCAGGTGCTTTTATGTCTGTGTATGACCAGCCAAAGAAGAACACTACACTCAAACTCCACTTCCACCTCAGCTGTCTAGTTCAAACAATCTTGGTGAACTGCCACGGTCTTCTCTTTCTCACCCAAACAGAGCTCAAGCACCAGAACTCTCCTGTCCCGACAGCAAAAGCAGACTGCCTTGCTGCTGCACCTTTCAGAGGTTTTCAAGGATGTCACTGGTTCTGATAGTTACCACCTGAAGATGGGAAGGGGTGAGGACGCTTTCTTGAGACTCTCTTTTAGTCATTTAGTTTCTACTGTGCATCAGGTTCTCTCCTAGGTACTTGGATCTCAGAGAGAAAACAGATATGGCCCCTGCTCTCTGAAGGAGCTCAAGTCCAGCACATAGGAACAACTGCAGGTTTGTGAGATGAGTATTAGCATAACGGTACGCACTCAGCAGAGTGGTGGGAGCAATCAGTTCTCTAAAGAAAGAACCTTACCGGGTTCAGGGAGTTTAGAAAGCAATTCAGTAAAGTCAGCCAAAAGATTATATATACACGTATATATGTATATATATAGGCAGAGGGAGAAGAGGCCAGCAGAGGAGGACCACACCAAGCACACCCTTCCATCACTTGGCATGGTATGGTCTTATCTCTAATTTTTTTCTTGACAACAAATGCTTCCTAGCCCAAGCATCAACAAACCTCTACAAGCACAGCACTAAATGAAGGGCCCTGGGGACTCCATCCTTAAAGAACTTACACTGAACCCAGCTGGGTTAGATTAACCACACACGGCACACAGCTAAAGGGAACAAAAACAAAACAACAACAACAAAACTGGCAAGTATGTCCAACTATAAATGGCACACACTATACAAGTTACTGAGGAATTAATTCATCGATTCTTAGGTCAGAACAGAGCTTAAATACTATTTAACTAGAGAAGTGTTCAAATGCTTGATTTCCCTTGACAAAACCTTTGGCAAATAAGCCCCGACAGGATATGGGAAGTTCAGTTAGCCACACTAGTCAGGCTTAGTCCAGAAAGAAACTAACTACACTGCACCCAAAAGGCTTTCATGGCCACACAAGAGAGGCATGCCTTAGACAAGAGTGGTCCTAAATGGGATTTTTGCTCTGCTGGTAAAATGGGTGTGTCACAATTCAGAGCAGAGAAGCTGCCTATACTCTGGGTAACGCAGTTCATAATCTTGGGGGTGACAAAGTTCCTGACTTGTGTTTGTTGGTGTTGGGGAGTTTCTCTCACACATTAGGCAAGTATACAACCAAGATATAACTTCTCATTAAGTAGCCCAGATGGCCTTGAATTTACAATCTTCTTGTCTCAGCCTCTTGAGTAGTTGAGTTTATAGGACAGTGTCAACAGGCATGGCCAAAAGTTCATGACTTTCAATAGTTCTGATATTTTAAAGGTGAGATATACTGCTCATGGGTCACCTGGACTACAGCATTTCTTTAGGATCATGATGGTGCTGGTCCTGACTAGAAAAATCACATCATAGTCCCTCATTACCCTGCCAAGTTCAGGAGAGACATAAGCAATGGCACTCACCCTCATGGAGGTCTCACCACCATGGGCCTGTTGCAGCCTGAAGACCTGGGCTACCATGTGCTCTGTGGAGGGGTGCAGCAAGATCCTTCGTGAGGCCAAGCCCACCATTACGTATCGGCCCATTGGAGACAGGCTTACAGAAATGGCATTGGGACCTGAGGGCCAACAGAAGAGAGTCACATTTCCCAGAATTCTTGTCATTCCATGGAAACAACTTTCATGCAGTCCTTTCTCCTTTTCTCCCATTTTCCTATCTTCTGATCGTGCTCAGGTGATGTTCCAGGATTGCAGTGAGCAGTGAAAGGAGAAGGTGTGCACACACTGAGTGAAGTACAATGCACACAAGCACACAATGCACAGACTTAGCACTGCTGAATACCAGCCATGGTTCTCATAACTTGAGAAGACTGCTAGCGTGCGTACTCTAAGCACTGGTCTGAAATCTTTTTCACTTAGGCATTACAAATGTTTTCCATCACTAAATAACCTTTCATAAGAGCAGTTTTTTTTTTTAAAGATTTATTTATTTATTTATTATGTATACAGTGTTCTGTCTGCACGCATCCCTGCAGGCCAGAAGAGGGCACCAGATCTCATTACAGATGGTAGTGAGCCACCATGTGGTTGCTGGGAATTGAACTCAAGACCTTTGGAAGAACAGTCAGTGCTCTTAACCTCTGAGCCATCTCTTCAGCCCCCTCATAAGAGCAGTTTTAAAGCTAATGTATTTTATACTATCACTGTACAGTCATTTATTTAAGCTACTCTTTAATATGGTGTAAACATCCTTGTATGTAAATCTTTGTAGTTTTCTGATAATTTCTCTAGAAGTGCAGAATATTTCCTTAGGAGTAAAATTTTTGGATTAAGAACACACATACTAGAAAGCCAAACTGCCTTGCAGTATATGTGTTTGCCCAGCTTTCCACGCCGCAACTAAAAAGCTCCTTCCTTATTGTTGCCTTTGCAACAGAAGCACACTGGTGATGCTACTGTGCCAGGGAGAACTCTTACTGGGAGACTCTTCCGTAATGCTCTAGCCAAGATTCCTGAAAAGCAATCTTTCCCTGGCCTGTGCCTCAGTGAAGGCACAGGCAGTACGTGACCAATCACCCATGCACGCCATGCCTCACCTAGGAATGCCTATGCCAAGGCATCAGCGTCAACTCTGCCATTAGATTGGGTTTCCTATTCCTTACCAAATCGCTTGGTGTAGAGCATTTCCCCCAAGTTATGGGGGGCCAGGGAATACACTGCCAGGATGCCTTCATCAGGAAAGCCCCTTTGGCTGCTCGGAATGAAAGCTGCCAAGAGCTGGCCATCTGCAGAAATGTCACAGCTGGCATCATTGTAGATCTTGCAGTTCTGTACCAGGACATTGACGGAGGCTGCATTGGACAAAGAAAAGAAGAGAAGTTTCAACACTGTGCTGTTAGAAATTCTGAGACCAAGATGTTGTTGAGTCTCTCTAAGGGTGTGAATCCTCTTTAGAAATGGGGCAAGCTGTCTTATTTAAATTAAAATGTTAGGAAGCAGGAAACAGGCGAGGCAGGAAGGACCCGTGCATCTACCACTTAGTAGGAACTATAGGACAGTCCATTACCACCACAGCCACCAGCTGAGTCTCAGTAAAGGTTACTAACAAATGCCCTGGAGAGCCACTCCACCGCTGTGGGGTTTTTTTGTTTTTGTTTTTGGAGACAGTGCTTCTTTGTATAGCTCTTGCTGTCCTAGAACTTGCTCTTTAGACCAGGCTGGCCTTGAACTCACAGAGATCCTCCTGTCTCTGTCTCCTGGGGGCTGGGATTAAAAGCATGTACCACCACCACCCAGCTTCACTGCTGTTATTGTTCAAAGTATGAAATCAAGATAAATGAAAACACAAATCTACTGATTCTAAAATAAAGGGACACAGGTAGAGCACAGGACACAGGCAGTAACCCTCCTCAGAACCTGCTATGTGATCTCAGAGAGAAGGAAGTCATTTCAGAAACTGTGTCTGTCTCTCCAGGAACACAAATGCCCAGCTCCACACAGAGGAAAAGGAGAAACAAAGCTGGGCCTGGGAGTTCTGTCTCTCATTATATTCTCAGCCTCTTAGACAAGATATTATGAACCACTATCTCCAGGCAGTCTTCACCTACATCGACAGTTATCAAGAATAAAGCACTGGGCTGACAAGGCAGGAGACTGGACTTGCTGAGGAAACAAAGTTCGAAGCTAGAGGCTAGAGTTGGGGAGGAGACCCCACTCTGCCTGTAGGGACTAATGAGATGTTGGCTAGCACAGGACTGTCTACTTTGGTTTGCATTTGAACTGAAAACCCTCTGTGTTTGCACTGTGGGAGTCTCTGCCAAGGGAAAGTGGTTTATCCTTGATGTGAGGCTGGGACAAAAGGGTCCACCTACCACCCACACAAGCAGAACAGTAGGACACATGCAAACAGGCCAAGTTCCTGAGCTTTGTTTCACTTAGTTCCACTCCATGTAAAGTGACTTTATACTTGTTCTCTTACTTGAAAGAGATGTCCTCTACCAGAGGCATTAAAGTTAAAAAGTAAGAGCAAAGCCAGGCCAAGCTCAGCTGCCCTCATCAGATCCAGGTAATATATTCCAATAAGCCAAAATATAGGAGTGCGATGGCAAGGGAAACCAGCCAAGGAAACAAAACCAAGACTTTTAAAAAAGGCTTATGGGACTGCAGATTAAGAGTGATTTGTAAAATTGGGTTTGTTCCCCTTTCCCTATGTGTTGCTAACAAAGCTACGGAGATAACAGAGTAGAAAAAAAAATGACATCAGAACACATGATTAGGCTGTTGTGCCAATCCCTGGGGGCTGACACCTACAGCACCATTACACATAAAACTGAGGCTGGCTCTGTTTGCTAACTAATAAAATAATGACATCCAAATACTACTGCTATCACCATTAGGCCTCTCTGCTGCTCAGCTCCCAACTCACCATCTGCTCCAGTCTGTATGGCTAGATTTATCTCGTTAGCATGGGACCGTCTGCTCCTGACACAGGGTCCTAAGCCCTTTGCCAAAAATATGGCAATCTCCTTCTCTGGAACTACATGATTCCAGTCGAGGACAAAACAATAAAGAATTATATGAAGCTTCAGTAGTGAGTCCATTTTCTTTTTTCTTTCTTTCTTTCTTTTTTTTTTTGTTGTTGTTTGTTTTGTTTTGAACACATCTTCTGTGTAGCCTTAGCTGTCCTGGAACTTATTCTGTAGACCAGGCTGGCTTCAAACTTACAGAGATCCGCCTGCCTCTGCCTCCCAAGTGCTGGATTAAAGGTGTGCCCCACCACTACCAAGCCACCAGTTTGCTTTTCTAATCTTGTTTTGTTTTTTTGTTTTTCGAGACAGGGTTTCTCTGTGTAGCTTTGGAGCTTGTCCTGGAACTCCCTCTGTAGACCAGGTGGGCCTCAAACTCACAGAGATCCACCTGCCCCTGCCTCCTGAGTGCTGGGATTAAAGGCGTGTGCCACCACTGCCCGGTCTGCTTTTCTAATCTTGATGTAGGCCTAATCCTCAATAAAATACAACAAAATTAACAATTTGGACACATGTCACCAAAGGCAAGGAGAATAGGAAATAACAAACATTAAGTAGAGGGGCTGGAGAAATGGCTCAGCAGTTATAGGTCTTGCACAACAGGACCTGAGTTTGATTCCTAGAACCCACATGGGGGTGGCTCACAACAACCTGTAACTCTAGCTCCAGGGGATCTGACACCTTCTCCTGGCACTTGTGGGCACCTGCATGCTTATAAGCATACACACACAAACACAAATACATATGAATAAAAATAAAAATAAATCTTAAACATATTAGTAAGTCTTGAGAATAGGAAGGCAATATAAGGTTCTCTAGACTACTTTGCACAATTGCCATTGTACCTATACTCAATGTCCCCAATATGCATGATGGTTCATCTGTCTCGTTGGTACAGAGATCTAGCTTGTATATATTAACATGTATTTTGGGTAAAAACGACGTCTATAATGAGCTGAACCTGCTGGCCCTGGCCTATACTCTCAGCTACTCAGAAGGCTGGGGCAGATGGATGGCAAGTTCAAGGTTTGCTTGGGCTACAGAGAGTTCTAGGCCAGCCTGAACAACTTAGTGAGACCTAACTACAGAAGTAACAGAGGGCTGGGGATATCGCAGTGGCAGAACATTGGCTGCATACATAATACCCTGGTTCAATCCCATTACCACCTAGAGGTGGGGAGGGACCATAATGACCTTAAACTACTAACATCTTTTAAAAAGTAACTAACTGATGATAAGGTTGAGAGGTGAGGAAGAAAATAAGATTTTTCTTCTGGAAAGCTTTGGTTCAAAGCCTGTGAAAACTGGGCAGATGGACAAAAAGCATCTGTCAGCCTCAATGCCAAGCCACCACGTTTGTATTTGCATTATCTTGTGATAATGCCAAATCAATGGCCACCTCTCAAGTTTTGCTCCCTCTTCCAACTCTACTCAATTTCATCACAGCTTCTGGTGACTGTAGTGAGCTAAAAAAACCAGCTAGTGATCCATTTACCTGGGCTTGTGTTTCTACCCTAGTAAAGGCATGTAGCAGGCACAGGAGAATATGGTAGCTCCATTATAAACAGCACCTAGCAGTAGCTTTACAATTTTATTTTTATTTCAAAGCTCCAATTAGCAGTTTACATTTGTTGTTTGTTGCTGAATAATTCCCAGTGTAGAAACAGAAACCGTCAGTTATAACAGTCAGTGGCCACTACTTTAATTCATGTGTGCAGTTTCCCCTCACAAGGCTGAAATTTCAATGAGTTAATATGCACATCAACAGTTCTTGGACCTCTGCTACTTTCCTTGGGTGGAGGAAAGTAATGTTCTAAAGGCAAAGAACAACTCATCCCTTTTTGGATTCAGCAACAAGGTAAGTAGGTAGGAAGAAAGATGTGAGTGAAATACAGCCTGAGCCACTGGCAGCTCACAACACTGGAAAACTGTGTTGAGGTTCCACACCTCACTCTGTCATGCAGCTCACCAACTACAACAAAGGTCAGTGACACCTTAAGAATGATGGAGAGAGTCTGAAAGACTGCATCTCCAGCAAGGCCCTAGGTGTCTCTGATGCTGCAAGTCTTGGACCACAATTGAGAACTCAGCAACTGGTTGTCCCTTAGTGGTAAAAAACATACGGGAAACAATGACAGGACAGCTAGCTTAAGAACTGGGGACAAAACTCAATGGGAGAATGTTTACTTTATATGTGTTAGGCTCTGAATTCAATCCTGTTACAAAAAAAAAAAAAAAAAATAAGCAAAACCGAAACTGCTTAAGAGGTTCAGAGGAAGCCAAGCACAGCAGTGTACGTCGATAATCACTGAGGGATGAGGGGAGGAATAGGCAGAAGGACTGCAGCAAGATTGAGGCTATCCTGATCTACACAGTGTATTCCAGGTCAGCCAGAGTAACAAAAGTGGCTCTCAAAATTAACCCAACCAACCAATCAAAAAGCAAACACAAAACAAAACAAAAAACCCAAGAACTTCAGGGGCACCTTCAAAAAAACAATGATGAAGGAGACAGCAGGAAGCCATGTTTTAGACTCTGTAATACAATACTGTCTCAATTAGAAATTATTTCCAAGTGAAAATACCTTAGCAGGGGACAGAAGGGACTAGAAATAATGATGCCCGGAGAAGCAGAGGGCTCTGCCTTCCTATCAGATCTGTAAACTATAAACAAACACCTTGTACAAAGATCCATGAGTTGCCTACTGCTGTTCAGATGAGGCCATAGGAATGATTGGCAGCTGCAGTACTTTACAAATGCATCACACACAGTTTGGAAAACCCAGGAGGGTTTAAATCAGAAGCAAAATTTCCTCTTGGCTACATCCGTGAGTCCCTCCAATTACAGCAGACCAGAGCTCCAGATGGCATGATAAACATGCTTTACAGGTATCAGTCACCACATCCCCTGTGGTGTCTGCCCTGTACTAGACTACTCGTCCACTAGATCTTACAACCTCTGCTTCCGGGATACCTTAGTGATCAAAGCCATTCACCAAGGAAGAGTTTACTCTGAAAAATCAGAGTGAGTCGGGTATGACGGACCACGTCTTTAATCCCAGCACTTGGGAGGCAGAGGCAGGTGGATCTTGGTGTGTTAGCATTCACACCCGCCCCTTGGGGACCTGATAGGGTGGGTCATCCCTGAGCAAATATGCTTGCCAGTACACAAGTGGTACCTTGGCCTGCTCAGGGTCCTGACAGAGTCATGCACTCATTCCTGCGTGGTCTCTCTGCGCGTGCGCTGCATCCCCTCATAAAAGGTGGGACCCTGCCTATTTTCTTTCTCTTCCTCTTCAATTCCCACAAGGTCGAGGTCACGTGTGC